ATATATATATATAGAGAGAGAGAGAGATAGATAGATAGATAGATAGATAGAAGGTTCACCATATACAAGGACCGGAGACCACTCGAATTATAGGGTTAAGGACAGTTTATACAGATGGCATGGGAAGATAACGTTTAAGCCTAGACTTGAACAGGGTATGATTGTAGTGAAGCATCCTCTTGGGAGTCGGTTCCACACAGCATTGGTTTGCTGGAAGAAGCTGTTCGAGTGGAACTTGCTTTTCACCGATGGAATGCGGAGAGAATTTGGGTGGTTTGTTATAATATAAACGGTATGTCGAGTTTTAGCCGTGAAGGTTACACCTGTCGGAATTAAGCAATGTAGTTCGTCCGAGCACTATTCATAGGAGAGGAGATAAAGCAGTAAGAGGCTAGCCACGTCCCGCCTGTAAGCGAGTTTGGAGGGGGGAAATAATTCGTCACCACCAGGACTCGAAGAAGCGATCGGAAATACAGAACATTCGGACAGTTCTTACACACTCTTTGTCCAGAAAAGAAAGCTCTTGTCAGAACACAAGAAAAATTAAATAAAAAGCTCAACCGTAGTACCTTGTCTGTCGTTTTAATGAAACATGCATCTATATATATATATATATATATATATATATATATATATATATATATATATATTTAATTTATGAAGAACTTGGTAATCCGTATGGGTAATCCCAAGGAGGATGAAATCCTGAGAGCTCAATGTAAATCCAGAGCTAATATTTAAAAGAAAAACTGACCACTTTAAGGTACCATTATAATAATTTAATTCACCAGAGTCCTTTTAAAGGACGCCGGATCATCAGATAGCACTTCCAACAACGAAATGAAACGAAAAATGAGATTAAAATTGATGGGTAGTGTAAGTTTTTGTAATTTAACAGGGGGTGTGAGAGGGATAGTTAAAGAGACATGGTAGAATATAGGGAGGGGTTAATTTCATATCTCTCTCAAGTGTACTTTATATTGGGGTAGGTGGAGTGACCAGACCTTGACCTATTTAGATGGTTAACTTAACGGAAATGATATATAGAAATGGGAGGGGAGTAGGAAGAAAAGAAAAAGGAAAAATGAAAAAGAAAGAGGAGACAGAAAACAGTAATACAAATATATACAAATGAGTGTTACAACAAGGAGAGAGAGGGAGAGGAATGTAAATCGAAAGAGGCTGTAATTGGGTTTTAACAATTTATGTAAAGGATAGATTTCAATGCTTGATAGAAATTTAGATGTCTAAAAAATTTGATGATTGCGATCAATTTAAATATTTAATTTTTAAGCAAATAGTTTAGCGGCTTAATATACGTTAACTGCTATTTTTATTAACACATTTATAGAGAACATATTAAAGAAGTATTTTAAATTATATTAGTTTATTTACCAGACCAATCGTACTTCCTTAATATTGTAAAAATAGTTACGGTAACGTTTTTATTAGTTTTACTTTTAATCTAATTTATGAATGCAATTTTTCTTTATTATTATATGAGTAAACTGACTTACTTCAAGTTTAGGTTTCATTATGGAATAATATTTGAGGGTAATATTAAAGATTTTGCTTTCTTCTTATATATATCACAAACATATTCATGCAAATCCCATGTATACATACGTTTATTTACATGCGCAAATACACACATAGACACACGTGTAACAATATACACAAATGTCCATCTATATTCATACATAAATTATATATACATACATTTATAAATAATTACCTATATTTTAATATTTGAAATTTATTTAGATTTTTGTTTGATTTCATAGTTAAAGTTTAACGTTAGGTGACTTCTGAAGTGCTTCATTATTAAAAAATTAATTATTTATATATATATATATATATATATATATATATATATATATATATATAAACTTTATTTCTTATTTCTTATCTGTGATTAATTAATGAGGAGCATGTCATTTTCGTTTATGATCGAATTCATCACGATTCTTCTGTTAAGCTAGGAGATTAATTATACAGGGTGTCCTAAAAAAATTGACATGATTTCGCAGGCTAATAATTTTGGCATTTCTCGTTGAAATAACTTCAAATTTTCACAGATTGTATAGGAACAGACCAGGATTTTATATTTCTTATTTTACTTTTGTTATCTCAATGAGAATCTGCCAGGGATATGAATAGGGCGTGGTGGAGATGAAAACAGTTTCTGATGAAATGGCCACCGCGGTTACCGGACGTGTCTCCGTGTCATTTCTTTTTATGGTGCTATGTGAATGGACTGGTTGATGTCCCCCTCTTACGGCTAGCACTGGCGAACTCAAACAGAGAATCACTTATGCACATGATAATGTTACCAGAGACATGCTACAGCTTGTATGGTAACAACTTAACTACAGAATTGACATAACCCGCGCGTACATATTGAACACGTATGAAATCAGTCCCATAATGAACTATTCAGCTAGACTTGGTAGTTTTCAAGATAATTGCTTTGAAATTGATGTCAAATTTTGGGGGACGTTGTACGTTGTTATTGCTTAAAGTGGAATCCAATAGAGTTATAAAAATCTCGCGGAATTCCAGTAAGATATCTTTCAAAATTTCTAAGATACAACAGTGCAAAAGTTAATCTAATAAATAGGCAATTTTGATTTTTCCAAATTTAATCACTTAAGGGATTAATAAAACAATGGATGAGACAGAGGATAACATTCTTTTTGTGTCCAATGATGAAATCTCTGATTCCTTTATAAGTGTCATTGATGGCAATGGGAGTTTTAGCGGTTTGAAACCAAACAAAATAGGAATAATCATCTTTTGATAAATACGCTTTTTATTTTGATGCATTGAACTTATTTGTGATTCGGATATTGTATAATTGCATTTAAAGATTAGACTGAATTGTTGTTCAATAAGAATTCAAATACGAACATAGTTTTTTTTTTTTTTCCCCAAAAGCTTCTCTTCACAATAAGGGTGGAATATGTACAACGTGAATCTGAGTGCATTCTAAAATATATATGCTAATTTGAGATCGAAGTCATTTTAAA